TTCTTTCATTATTTTAACACAGAAATATTTCTCCACATTAAAATATAAACTTTTCTCGTCTCTAACAGGTTTTGCTTTAATATTAGTGTTTATGTATTTTGATTTAGTTGTGGTTCTTGTTTAAATCATTTGAGATTGAGGTGAACTGACATTTTTTTCCTTTAGTTTGATCCACATAGTTGTACAGAATCACCATCCAATCAGATCTGATGCTGTGGTTTTTCTAAACTCCTGAAACAGATCAGAAAAATGAATGTCTGCTGCTCCGTATCTTTGACTTTCTTCAATAAAGTAAATTATGACAAAGAAATTAGCAAAGTTTCCCTTCATTGAAATTATAAGTTGTGAGTTTTCTCATCTGAATTGCCAAAACATTTCCTTGGAAGCGTCTCATGTTGTGCTGGTTTAGGTCAGATGTTTGGTTTGTCCTCCATTCATCAGGAACTCTCTGCTTCCTCCACTGCAGAGAGATTACAGAAAGAAAGCCGAGCTGGAGATCCTGGCAGCAGGAATGAAGACGAGGATGAAGCTCCTCCACTGGCAGTTTGTCGAACGCTGAGATTTAAACCTGCCAGAAACCACAGAGACGTGTCTTAAAACGCAGAAGAGCTGCTCAGATGTTCAACCTTCAAATAAATGAACATGAAATGTAGAAGTAGACCTCTGACAGAAACGTTTGGTAGCAGAAGCTCTGTTTGCTGTGAGTTGAGTTAAAGTTTTACAGCTTTTATGAAACGATTCTTTATCAGCAACAGAGAAACTAAACAGATAAGCATATGATGTAAACTTTCTACTCTCTGTCCTGCTGCCATTACAGTTCAGTGAGGAAAAAGGCAACAGATTTTCCTGAGCAACCAAGATTTCCACACTGTGAAGAAATCAGATGTTAGAGATCTGAGTTTTGGTGACTCAGTCAGTTGTTTTGATCAGAAAACTGTTGAGAAAACCTTCAAGTGTTTTACGTTCAGATCCTCCTCTTCCTGTAATCTGATATCCCTCCCTCTTCTTCCTGGTTTCAAACACGCCTTAAAGCTGAAGGTGGAAGCTGATTGGCTGCAGCCTCTCTGCACTGACACCTGATTGGTAGATCAGAACTCAGCCTTGTTTCTCTGACGAGGAAACGAAACTAACACTCTCACTCTGACTGAGAGGAAAAATGGAGCAGCAGGCAGTTCAGCTGGACCCAGAAACTTTCTCCTGTTCCATCTGTCTGGATCTTCTGAAGGATCCGGTGGCGATTCCCTGTGGACACAGCTACTGTATGAACTGTATTACAAACTTCTGGGATGGAGGTGAGACCAAGAAAAGCTACCATTGTCCTCAGTGCAGGAGAAGCTTCACCCAGAGGCCTGACGTGGAGAAAAACACCATCCTAGCAGCTTTAGTGGAGCAGCTGAAGAAGACTGGACTCCAAGCTGCTCCTGCTGATCACCGCTATGCTGGACCTGAAGAGGTGGCCTGTGATTTCTGCACTGGAAGAAAACTGAAAGCCATCAAGTCCTGTTTGGTCTGTCTGGCCTCTTATTGTGAGAAACACCTTCAGCCTCATTATGTTGTGGCTCCATTAAAGAAACACAAGCTGGTGGAGCCCGAACAAGAACCTCCAGGAGAACACCTGCTCTCGTCACGATGAGGTGATGAAGATGTTCTGCCGCACTGATCAGAAGTGTATCTGTTATCTCTGCTCTGTGGATGAACATAAAGGCCATGACACAGTATCAGCTGCAGCAGAAAGGACTGAGAGGCAGAGAGAGCTGGAGGAGAGACAAAGAAACATCCAGCAGATGATCCAGGACCAGGAGAAAGATGTGAAGCTGCTTCAGCAGGAGGTGGAGGCCATCAATCGCTCTGCTGATAAAACAGTGGAGGACAGTGAGAAGATCTTCACCCAGCTGATCCGTCTCCTCCAGGACAGAAGCTCTGAGGTGAAGCAGCAGATCAGATCCCAGCAGGAAACTGAAGTGAGTCGAGTCAAAGATGTTGAGGAGAAGCTGCAGCAGGAGATCATTGAGCTGAAGAGGAAAGACGCTGAGCTGGAGCAGCTCTCACACACAGAGGATCACAACCAGTTTCTCCTCAACTACTCCTCACTGCCAGCACTCAGTGAGTCCACACACTCATCCAGCATCAACATCCGTCCTCTGAGACACTTTGAGGACGTGGCAGCAGCTGTGTCAGAGCTCAGAGACAAACTACAGGACGTCCTGAGAGACTCATGGACAAACAGATCACTGACGGTCACTGAGGTGGATGTTCTACTGTCAGAACCAGAACCAGAACCAATGACAAGGGCTGGATTCTTAAGATATTCATGTGAAATCACTCTGGATCCAAACACAGTAAATAAACAGCTGGTTCTATCAGAGGGGAACAAGAAGGTAACATATATGAATAAACCTCAGTCTTACTCTAGTCATCCAGACAGATTCACTGGTCAGTTTCAGGTTCTGAGTAGAGAGAATCTGACTGGACGTTGTTACTGGGAGGTGGAACGGAGCGGATCATATGTTTATGTAGCAGTCGCTTACAAGAATATCAGCAGAACAGGAAATACATGTGGGTTTGGATGTAATGACAAATCTTGGGCATTAGATTATTACACATCTGAGTTTGGTCACAACAACATCTGGACCTCAGTCTCAGGTCCGGTTTCCTCCAGAGTGGGAGTTTACCTGGATCACACAGCAGGTATTCTGTCCTTCTACAACGTCTCTGAAACCATGACTCTGATCCACAGAGTCCAGACCAGATTCACTGAACCGCTACTGGCTGGAGTTTGGCTTGGAGGTTGGCCCAGAGATTCTGCAGAGTTCTGTAAACCCAAATAGATTTCCACTCTGGTTGTTGATCTGGTTCATGGTTCTGATGTCTTTTCTGCTCTGCTCTTTATTTTTTAGTTTATAAGTAGTTCTGAAGTCCAGGATCAATAAAAAAGAATCTTTTTTCTTTCATTCATTTATGACAGAAATATTTCTCTACATGAAAATCAAAACTTTTTTGGGCTCTTAAATCTTTTGCTTCAATATCTGTATTATTGTCTTTCCGTGTTGTTGTAGTTTAAATCATTTGATATTGAAGTGAACTGATTATTTTCTGTTTTCCATATTATGATCCACATAAATAAACTGAATTCACCATCCAATTAGATCTCATTCTCTTTCTTTTTAAACAGACGAGGAAAAATAAGTATTTGCTGTTGTGTATCTCTGACTCAGTAAAATTACTGAATTACAGAGAAATTTCCAAAGATTCTCTTCATTTTTAGAATAAATTGTGAGTTTTATCCTGTGATGGACTGGCGGCCTCTCCACCGTGTACCCCACCTCTCGCCCTTTGACACCAGGAGGCACTGAGGGCTCTTGCATAAAGGAGGCGCAGTTTTCACACTAAACTTGGTGCACAGACAATCTATAAAAGTGTGACACACAGACCAATGCGTTACATCTTTATGGGACAAAAAAAGAGGAAAATTACTGCTTACCTTTGAGTGAGGTGTCAGGGTTAGGTTGACGTTACCTTACCTTGCCATAATTCTGAGATCAAAATCAAAATTTAGAGTTTCATATCAAAATTCTGACTTATTGAGATTGAAGTCAGTTTTTTTATATTAAAATCAACAGTTTGAGGGTGAAAAAAAGTAAATTCTGGGTTTAAAGTAAGAACTTTGTCTCAAAATTATCAGAATTTGAGATTTAAATCAGATATTTTTTTCCTCCAATGTCCCTAATCTACATCAGATGGAGCAGCTATTGATTAACTACATTTATCTGATCAGAGTGATCTATTTAAATGGTTTGTAAGAAACCCAAGCATTCATCAGATAACGTCCTGCTTGTGTTTTTTAATTCAGCCTCATGACAAGTGATGCATAATTAACGGCGCCCATGGAGGAAGCGGCCTATTTATGATATACGGGACCAAATGTTTTAAGATCCTGCCTTCCAGAGCCTGAGCTATATCGGTGAAAGAACAGATGGCCGTCCCTGTTGGTGCGGCTCTCCAAACTAATACACCCGGCATATGGGCCTGCATCACAAGGTGCGGACGGGCACTATGCTGACGGGACGGGGCCGCTCCATATCCGCCGGAAACGGTGCAGACTCTCAGATTTTAGCCGCCCGGGTGGATACAACGAATGAGGAAGATCGAAAGATCTTCTTCATTCAGAGCCACTTTGGTTGAAAGGTGTGGAGATCATTTCGATGTCTCCACTTGAGCTTTCCTTCTGTCTGCTCCACTCATTCCTGGATCCCTCCCAACTGAAAGGATTAGCAGACTTCAGAAAGACAAAGAAGAAAATCTCAGAGTGGATTAATTTCACACCTGGCAGGTCGATAATATCCACACCTGAGCTGGGATGATGGGAGGAGAGGAAGAAAAAGCACCTGAGCATCTAAAGCCTTTGTGTTTCTGCAGGTATTTAAGATACCCTCTACTGCCACCATGTGGCCAAACAGGGGGATAGTCAGCTGTTATTCTGCAGTTTTATCCAAATGGAATTGCAAGAATAGTTAAAATGAAGAATAATGTGGTAATAATGAGAATAAAGGCATAATTTTACCAGAATAAAGCTTGCACAATCGCATCAAAGTCACACAATTGGAATAAAGTCATCATTATGACTTAAGTCTTGAAATATATTAACATTAATAAAAATAAATTTACTCTCAGAATAAACTCAAAATAATAAAGCTGTATTACAAAAATAAAATCATATTCTGACTTTATTCTCGTAATACCATTACTTTACTCTCATATAAGAGTTCATTGTCATTCTTTTTTCATTATTTTTTCTTAGCCTGGTATTAATATTTAATCTCAAGTCATTTCATCTTTTAGTTTCACATCTTCACTCTTAAGCAAAATATTGAAATGGATCAAATCAGACAAAACATCTGATTTAAAGCTGGACTAAAAAATGTTTCCCAACAGATTTAAATGTTTTGCATTTTAATTAACATTTTTAAGTGTTTTTCAGCTTTAAGACAAAAAACAAACAGTTTTCCAGTTTAAAGTTTTATTATTTGGAAAATTAAGTCTCAAAAATTCATACATTTCAATAACAAGTGCACAGAAATTCAAAGTGGATACATGTAATATATGGCATTAGGGTCTGTCATAACATTTACACCAAGTCCAAATCAGCAGCAAGAAATCCACATCAGCAAAGATGACAGGTTCAAGTAAGACAATTCATTACAGCTCGCATTAGTCCTTTAAGTTAAAATCAAAAATAATAAAAACACATAAGCAGGAAATGTCACATACCGAGGAAAATTATAACAACATCTGCTTAATGTGCACTAAACTTAAATATTCTAAAAATATCCAACAGGCATTATTCTTATATTTTTACAAAGCATTTAACACTGATGAATGAAAAGACAGGCGGCAACAGAAAAAAAAAACACTAGTTGTATTTAGAGGGTTTTAAAATAGCAACAAAGAGCACATTATCACAATTAACACAATAAAATAAAATATTTGGCAAAATATGGAGAGTGAAGAGTGCCAAATTATAACCTGTTAAAACAACTTCCTGTGAATTTGTTTTAACTGAGTCAATATTTCCACTGGAAATGTCGAAATAATTTCAATAAAGTGTTGTAATGTATTTACTACAAACTCTGAGTGAACAACTCAAGCCTTTATATTTCTAGTTTGGGCTTAAAGGTAATATAATAATTTCACCAAATGTCTCACTGTGATGCTGCTACACACATTAGCGTCGCTAACACCAGCTAGCTTAACTTATTTCAGACCAAATGAGATAAAAGGGCTGGAGATGCTCATCCAGGAAGTTTTTAGTAAATAATTTATCAAAATTATTTATTCACTTTAAAATATTGACCCAGAATGAAGAAGTTGTCTTGACCACTTAGCCAATCAGACGTCAGGATTTCCACTAATCCCGCCCACTGAGTTTAATGAAATTTACGGTTTTAAATCATGATCAGCAGAAGAACATGACATAATTAGATATAGTTTTTAAAATAAAATCAATACAATTAATCGTGGTACATATAATCAATTCTGTATTTATTTTCAATTTTTAAAAATGAACATTTTAATAATTATTTCCATTTATTATTAATAACAATGGTAGTGGTATTATATTGTAGTAAACAGCATATTACTATTAATAACATTTTTTATTAATATTGTCATTAATAGAAATATTTACTATTACTGTTACAGCAATAATAGTTATTGCTATGACAATTGTTATTATTGTTGTTAGCAACAGTAGCATTGTTAATATCATTATTGCTGTTAATATTTTTGCCATTACTCTTTTCCGTATGTTTTATTGATCTGTTTTTTCCTTTCCATATTTTTAATGTTCACTGATCAGCACTTTGTCACAGCTGTTAATATTGTCATTAAAAATAACATCAATATAATTTTGTTGTTAATAATAATAAAAGATGTATTATTAATTGTAATTTGCCACTCTTTACTCTCCATCAAAAAAAAAGCCACTTCTCTTTTTTCTTATTTTCCTGAAATAAATGACATGAAACCGTTTTCGCTGTGATTTCCTACGGCTGCAGCGGGATCTAAACTACACGCCGCCGCTCAAACACAGGGATGCGACTACTTCTGCCGATCCACCGAGCGATTCAGTATTTTAAATAATAATAATATATGTACAACATGAAGGCTGCAGTCTGTGGCATGTGAATGTCGCTGACTGAAAGTTAGCTGGCTCAGTTACAGTTCACAAACATCTGAAACTAACCCAAAGGACGAGCAACTGCTACCTAAAGATCTACCTCCTAGGCTCCCCACCGACGCGTTTGGGGAGTGAAATAATTACACTACTTTACATCACCGCTTCAATGCCTCGTTTTTCCCCGTCGCATCGTTTGGCGCATTTCACCGACAGAGGGGAACGTTAGCCGTTATTACGCTAGAGACAGGAGGGACATTTCAAGGTGCACACAGGCTATTAGTGATGGAGTCGTTGGTTTGTGTGAGAGTGTGGGTCGGTTGGGACTTGGGGGGACATGCAGGACGTCTGGGACTCAAATCAAGGCTGAACCAGTAAGACTCACCAGCGTTACCAGTCATCCATTCATGCACGAGTATCCAGTTCTGAGTGGGTTGTTGTGCGCTCGTCCATTTTCTGTGTGTGTGTGTGTGTGTGTGTTGTACCAGTGTGTCTGCAGGGAAAACAAGTGCCTGCTGTGGGACGCGAGGGGCAGACTATAGGAAAGCACTCGGGTTTGCTCGAGGATCCTTCTGGTTCCGGTAGCGCACAGCGAGCCACACGCCAAGGATCTGAGGTCAGAGATGAGACACGTTAACGAGACGCAGCGTCCATCAGCAGGAGGACAAGATGGACAACGGGATAAGGCAGAAACTCTTAATATAACATAAACATTCACTATGGCGACATTTCCATGATGAACAGAGGGAAGGGGGATGGATGGAGCTAAATGCCACGTCTCTACTCAGAGAGGAAACGTAAGCAGCATCCGGCGTGTTGGGAATCAAACTCACCTCTGAGAAGCTGAAGAAAAGTCCGACGCCTCCGAGGATCTTCAGAACTTCTGTTGCATGATTCAACATCTTATCCCCGCAGCTCGGACAGGCTCCTTTACCTTTGCATGACTGGAGGGGAACAATACAGAAAAAAAAACACTTCAAATTGGTGTTTCTGACAGGAGGAGTCAGATTCTTAATCTGTATTTTTGTCTCATTTATTAAAAATTGAATTAAGCGGGTAAATTAAGTATTAAACACATAACTTTTCAAGAAAACTAGATACATAAGCCTGTCAAAATAAGCAATCAATTCCATAAGAAATGATCCTGGATATACTTCAACCTTTTGTAAATATTGGAATAAATGTTTGTCTCTTATTTCTACTTGTTTTATTTTTTCTAAACAGTATGGACTAGCCTTAATGGATTACTTTAGTTGTTACAAACACCAACAGCACCTTTAGAAATATAAAACTGTACATATTTTACCTGCAGTAGGTAGTAAGTATAAACAGTTTTCTTCTGCACTGCAGAGAATAAAACAGGAGAAATAACATTTCATACTTACAGCGTTACAGTTTCTCACGTCCTGTTCAAACTGTGAGCGGCTGTTGGAGACGTTCAGCAGGCCGCAGCAGTCCAGTTGCTTCTCCAAGTTTTCCTTGGTTTCATTGTGTAACATTCCCCAGGTGGAGTTCAGAAGAACCACCTGGAAATTTAAAAATGAACAAACAGAATCCGCGTTTGTCATCAGGGAAAAATACAGTTTGTTACGCATTCAACAAACTGTTACGCATTTAAACTCGGACAGGATGTTTGCTGACCTGCTGCCCGCGGTTCATCGCCAAGCAGGAACAGGAAACTCCAAACTGGAAGAGGAAAACGATGAAGAGGATGACCATGTACTGGGGGAAAAAGTCAAGAAAACAATGCAGATGCAAAAAAAAAAAAAAAAAAAAAAAGAAACTTACTGACCTACAAATGCCTGTCATAATAACAAATATTAATGCACAATGAACATATAAAGTTATCAGATTTTTTATAGGGAGGGGATGTGAAAATTACTGCATGTAAAAATTTAGGATTTTTTATGTTTGTAGGGCTGAAAAAATCAGATTAGTCATGATTATTTGTGAATGTGATGAATCAATCATTTAAATTGTCTACTAATTTAATAATCAATTCATCGTTATTGTGATGACAAATTTTTCTGGGGAATAATTTTTACAAGCAGTTATTACTATAAAAGATAATATTGTTATTTTGAAACCATTTTCAAGTGAAATAATGTGATAATAATCCAAGAACACATTTTCAATGTTGATTAAACTTTAATCAACATTTAACTTTAGAACTGGAAGACACCTTAAATATACAAAATAAACTAAACAAAAGAATTATGAAATCTCCATTAAACTGTAAAAAAAGCAGACTAGTAGCAGACTAAACACTTTTGCCATCCAGTTTTTGGTAGAAAGAAACAAAATGAAAAAATAATAAATCACACAAATGGAAATGATTGAGCTTGATTTAATTTATCATGCGATTAATTGATTTCTTGCTTATTGCATTTGAGTCCAGAGAAAGGATACAAAGAAGAGCATGACTTGGTGGTGGTGAATGGCTCCGACGAGGCCAACGATGGCGATGAGCAGCAGGAAGACGCCCACCGCTATGACGCCTCCGATGATGTGGATGCTGGACACCAAGCCGAAGCCTTTCCCCCAGACTGCCACTCCAATGAGCAGCAGCCCAACCAGCTGGAGGGACAGAAGGAGAGAAGTTAACCACGGTCAGCTGAGGCGCACCAGTATGACTAGAGTTCAGATCAAAGTGCTACAAGGATCTCACTGCTCACTCACAAGCAGCATTTCAAAGACACTTTTGCACCTCAAAACGTCTCAATTAAAGCTCTACATATGAGACTTATAAATTAAAAATAGTAATTAATCAATGATACTTACATTTTTGCTCAATGTAAGTAGCTGAAGTTGAATAAAATTAAAGTATGCGGCTTCTGCAGTCGTTAGGAGTGACTCAGTCAGAGATAAGCATCGTGACTCAGTGAACAACAATATGCCTGAGTGAAGCACATGTCTTGACTGTGTCAGGAGTTTTTAGGGAATGCAAGTTCAAATGGGGCATAAAGCTCCGTACGTACAGTTAAAACCTCCTCTACCTACACAGCTTTTAAAGTGTTATCAATATTTTAAGGTAATTTCACTACAATTTGTAATATTTTAATGTTTCACTACAAAAAGCAGCAATACCATCATAATACCATATTCTGCAATAAGAAAAATTGAATTAAGTACTGTAACAAGACAATTACATTATTTTTTATACCACCAAATGTAAGTCATGGATTAGAGATTGTTTGTTCTCTTGATGACTACATAATCTTTTCAAAGTAAACAGAGACATAAATCATCTGAAAATTGCCAGATTTAAACAGCAGTAGCTGTCAAAGATGTCACCGGTATTCCTTCACATTTCCCTTCGAGATTAAATCTGGGTGAGTCTGTTATGACACGAGTAGGTTAAATCAAATTAAGACTATCCTGGGTGACTGCTACCACAAAGATAACCAATTTAAACACGCCAGTCGCTCAGCTGACGGCCTAGCAGCTAAGGTAGCATTGGTTTGCATAACAGCTACGGCTAATATGCTAACGATAGCCGCTACTCTACGTTTCTACCCAGAAGCCAAAGCTATACACAAACTGGGAGTTTCAATAAATGAGCAGAATACATACCATTCATTTATGGACAAGAACCAGAGCGCATGCGAAGCAAAATGTTTACATAATCAGAACTTTCTTGAACGCTGCGAGCTAAAACAGGTAGCTAGCTCGCTTGCTAACTAGTTAGCTTTTCGTCAGCATTACGCCACTTCATTCAGCGGCTGCCGCTTCGTATCGAACCCAAAGTTATCATCTTGCCAGCACTCACCATGTAAACCACATTCAGGGAGCAGAGGGCGTTTTTCGAACAGGTGAAACCGCCACAAACCATATTAGAAACCGCTAAAGCCTTCAGAGGAGATGAACAATAACGGTTGCTATGCGGCTCTGAGCTGCGCCGACGTCTTCTGGACTCAAACAGCAGAGAGGGCGTGGCTGATTGCGTCAACTGACGTCTGACGTCAGATTCTGACGTCTCCCCAAATCTGTTTCTGTTTTTTCAAACGTCCTTCCGTGAGGTTCAGTGGATGTATCACTACAACCGAAAAGGTTTATCCGAGTTCCTCAACATGACATTAACTGACCTTTTCTACACGGAAGGCAGTTTTTCTATCTGTTTTTTCAGTCAAATGTTTCATTTTGAAACTTGGTTTATTTTTACTGCTCACTGATGGAAATCACACGGTATACCTAAGAGTTAGTGTTATTGTTACATTTCTGCAAATGAACATTGAAGTGTTAAGTGTTTATTTATTTATTGCATCTGTATTTTTTTAGTTGCTTAATTTTTACAGCTTCAAAGTAAACAGAGACATAAATCATCAGTTGCATCAGTTTCTTTTTTCAGACTTAAAGCAAACTTTCAGATTTGAACCAATAAAATAAGTGAAACAATTTTGGCAGATTATAATACACATATCTGAGTTGAAGTTCAATCAAATTCAAAAATACTTTATTCATCCCAAATGTAACTTAAATTTTGTTCAACGATCTTCACAAATTGTTGTGGAGGGCAATGCAGTAGCAGTCAGTCTCGCAACATATTTAAAGAAGCTTCTGATGAAATAATGTTGCTGTATGAGTTTCATTAATGTCATGATATGTCAGCAGGTCAGTTTCTGGACACCAGAAAAGATATTCAAAATGTTATTGGAATATTGATTTATGACAACATTTAGTCCATAAGTTGTTGTTTTTTTAATTCTAATAAAAATATAATAAAATTTGTTATCAAGAATGATGCTAAAATTCATTCGAATTTAACAATTCCTGAACATTATATTTGCAAAGCAATATTCTTTATTAAGCTATTAAATCATTTTAAAGGCCTCAATAGTTGTTTTATTTTCTTTTTACGCTAAAACAATCTAATCTCAAGAGACCTGTATAAACAAATATCTGCAGTGTGCTGGAGCTATATTTTGAAAACAAGTCAGGTAGAATTTCTTCAGAATGATAGGAGAGACTGATGAGGTCATAAGGTCATCAAGTGTTAGATCCTGTTATTATAATATGCCCTTTAGCAGCGAAACATCCCCAAATAATGACACCTCCACCTCCATGCTTCAGATTTGAAAAGACAAGAATGTTGGTTTTTGTTTATGTGAAACTGATTTGTTCTAAAATAATTCTGTCTATGTTCTCTCTGTCTTAGAGGGGGGAAAAAGGTTGCAAAGTTAAATTTACGATGCCTCTTTTAGTTGTCACATTCTGGATTTTGTACTTTCTGTTTTGCTACATTTCAGTTGCAGACTCAGTACATTTTCAGGGTTGGCGTGCAGAGGAGAGCACAGTTTGAAACAGGGAAGTGATTTCAGTTGGGCTCAAACCTGCAGAGGAAGCTGAACACGTTGTCATGATGTGACTTTTGTGGTTTTGAAAGAGAGAGAAAGAGCGAGAGAGCGACACCCTGAGTTGACTTCACCTCGTCTTCTGGTGCCTCTTGGTCTCAAGCTCGAGTTCTTCATGTGGAACCAGCAGCCGGGAGTTCAAATGGGCTGAAGCATCTCGCTGCTTCGGTTCACGACTTATCTGTGCGTGAGGATGACCAGCAACGTTAAATCAGCTTACTCCTCTGCGATAAAAGCGGAGATCAAGAGGTATGACTCCCTCCAGAGTGCAATCAACAGACTCTTCAAGCAGTTTGAGAGAGTGGAGAACCAAACTCTGCGCTCGGGCCTTAAAGTTTACCTCCACAGCATTCAAGGTGAGCTAACCTTTAATTAGCATTATGACTCAGTTTTAATCATCTCATTCTGCATGTTGAGGAACACAAAAAGCTGTTCTAACCTCATGAAAGTTCTCATTTCACATAACAACCATTGAAAAACGGCATGCATACATCAGCTTCGTTAGTTTTTTCATCAGCTTTCTTGCTGTGATGCAAGGAAATAAGACTGTGTGGGTGACTGATATCTTCTTTTCAGCTTCCTGTCACCGTCTGTGTGACTCGGTGTGTTTTCCTGAGGTGAAGGTGTTCGAGTTTGTGCTCAGTCCTCTCTTATTGTGAAAAAAATAAATCACCTCTTGATACCTGTTTTGCATCAGCATTAAGCATCAGTCGGCCTCTGGACATAGAGACTAAATGGCAACATCCTTTAGCAGCCATCGCCATAGTAGCAAGATGAAACCTGCTGTGTGGCCTACTTCCTGTCTGCCAATCTGCAACTGCCCTCAAAGCCACTTCCTCTCATGCGAGCAAGGCTTTTACTTGAAGCTGATTAGTTTTACATCACATCCTTGAGTCGCTACTTCCTACATTTCTTGTTAAAGTGACAAAATGTGACACATAGATTCTTTAGAAATGAACGTCACATTTTCTTTCTCCTGTTGTTTGTTGGGTTTGGCCTTCAGAGGAGGGAAGTTCTCAAATTGCACAGCTAAAAATGATAAAGGCTTATTGGAAAGATGAAAAACATTGTAGTTGCGGTATTTGTCTGTGATCTCGCTGACTAATGGAGCTCGATTTTGTTGCGAAATGCATTGTAACCTCTACATTTATTTGCAGTTTGAGTTAGCAGCAACTTTTAATCTTTTAGAAATGAACTGCAAACAGGCAAAATCAAGTTAGCTTGAGAACAAAAGTCCTCAAGGGATACATGTTTTTTTACTCAATTTAAATTGTGTCACTGTAAGATTATCTGGCTGAACTTTACATTGTACGCTACAGATTTAATCTTTCGCACTACCTTACGGTTCCTATGGAATTCTTCTCTTTTGTGTTTTTTTTGGTGCCAAAATTAAACATTTTAGATGCAAAATGCAGTTTTCAAATGAAATATTTAGATCTCACGTTCTTTGCAGAACTGTTTTACTTCATCACCGTCAGAGGTTTTATGGATGAATGGTCAAGTTGACTCCAAAGCAGACACAAAATCTAAACTTTGACTAGCCCAAAGTGCCTTAATTATCTTTATTTTTAAGCCATTTAAAGAAAGAATTTGAATGACTAGTAAGATTGTGCAAAAACACAAAATTTTACCAAGCACTTTTTGTAGTTTCTACTCCACATAAATTAAGAAAACTAATTTACAAGAAAATTTAGAGAAACATAAAGCAGACAGGCAGGACAAACAACCACGCACACACAAACTCAGGAGACTTTAGAGACCAATTAACCTAACAGTCATGTGTTTGGACTGTGGGAGGAAGCCGGAGTACCCAGTGAAAACCCACCATGCACAGGGAGAACATGCAAACTCCAGGCAGAAAAACCCCTGGCCGGGAATCGAACCCAGAACCAAGTGAAATTCAGCTTTCCCAAGGAACAAATAATCATAGCTATTTCATGATTTAACCAGATCTAAATGGACCAAATTAATTAGTCCAACAGCTGTTATAATAGTAATTAAAGTTAATATTATCCTGAAAGTTCATTGAGAGCTAAATAATTGCTGCTTTTAATTTTCAGAATAATATTGAATTTAATTACTGTTATAACAGCAATTAAAGAGACAAGCTAACCTTTAGCATTTGTTTAGAAGAGAGAAATCATGGCAAGTTAATCTAAGAGGATTATAAAGTTTCAGATTAGAAGAAAACATACATTGTACACACAAGTGATCATAACTAAAATACACAGAACTTGGAATAAGAAGATTTTATTTTGGGCAAGACTGCAGCCGGAGTTAGCGTCAACTTTTAAAATCTTTTAATATAAGCTTTTACAAAAAAACAGGAAAATAATTCTGCTGATAGGATATAGCTTATGGAAATATTTCAGATACTCTTCAAGTTTCAGAATAAACATTTGTTTGTTTTTTTAAGAGGGGAGAACAAATAAAGAAGTTAATATTTTAGCCAGTAACTGAAAAACACAGAAACTCAGTTTCTGTTTTGATCATTTCTTTATTGTTTATTTGTTTAGATATAATAATTTTAGTTTATTTTTTGTGTTCATTTATATTTCAAACTTGTTTCCCAAGATGAGTGTTTCTTTCTGATTTCTGTTCATGTCATTTTCAGATTTTTCCCTCAATTTCTCTCTGCTGTGTTTATATTTTGTTTCCTTCAGCCTGCCAGCTAATCACCACTCCAGTATTTAAATCGTCCTTTATTCAGTTAGTTTATTGCCAGATCTTCCTGTCAGCAGGAAGCTATTTGGAGTGCTTTTGAAAACAATCCAGATTTCCTCCAAGATGGATATTTAAGTTGTGCAGATGGACTCAAGGCACTTAATTTTCAAGGAGACATCATAAAAATAAAAACAAATTGGATGTCTTGTCAAGTCCAAAACAATTAGTAAGCAAATTAAATGATTCAGGTAACGAATATGGACATTTTCAACTCACGTAGGGCTGAAACGATTAATCGCCGATTTCTGTTATAGTCAATTAGTTAATGAATCGTTAACTGGACTGGAAATAGTGGTAGTTTTCTGAAAAATCAAATAGGGCAAGGCAGAAATTCAACTAAAAATGTACATAATATACATAAATTTTTACATTTAAGATGCATTATCCCTATAAAACACCTCTGTGTGTAAATATGAAAGACCCAAAACTTCTCAAATGGAATAGTTTGACTTCCACGTTGCTAAAATCCATTAAAATTCAGTACAGGAATGTCATGTTTTTGCATTTTTGTCAATAAAATATCCAATTTTATGTTCTGAAAATTAACTAAATTATGTGTTTATATTCTTCTTTTAATGCATTTCTGATATAGTATAAAAATGTCTAAGTAGTAAGAATGTGCCCATTTTTTTATCTAATTAATTAATTAATCATCAGTATAAATTATAGAATAATTGATTACTAAAATGAATGTTTTATGTACAAAGGGGATAACAGATAAAAAGCAAGTTTCTTTCTTTAATTGTCCTTTTCCAGATTCAGTCACAATATTCAAATCTTTGGTTTGAGTCTGAGGAAACTAAACGTGTCGCCGGTGAAATCAGAATATTTAGTTTATTTCTGAGGGCAGGTCTGGCTTTCATTGATGTGTTTTTAAGAACTGGATGATCTTCATACATTATGAAAGGTCTGACCTCCATATCATGAGTAGAAAACTGTTTTTGTATAATTAGTCTGCTTGAGTGTCAGCGCTTTAGCGCGGATCAAAGCTGGAGAATCCTCGCTGGGACCCGGCTCTAAAAACAGAGCCGGCGCTCTGGATGTAGTCGAGTGGCTGGAAGTCAAAGGAACCATGAAAAAAAGATGAAAATAGTAGATTTAAAAAATGAGGAGGTTCTCCTGGGAGCTATGGAAGCTGAAATGTCAAAAACTACTGCAATATTGAATAAAATAAAATATTTTCCAAATAAAAAAAATCTCTTTACATGTTAAACTGTGTGGAGATCTGAAATTTGTTACACAAAACCTGTTATCCGAATTATTACTGCATCACATTATTTTTATGCAGCTAATGAAATATTTCTTACATCGTATACTTTAAAATTTTATGATTAAGTGGAGTAGAAATTTGTCATAACAATGAATTAAAATTCTCATCACAAAGGCATTTTTGATGATATGTAAAAACGTACAATAAGTTCCCACCATGAGTAAAACAATTAGCTGAAAAAATGCAATAAGGTTTGATTATAATTGTTTATTTTCTTTCTATGACATTGTCCACAGTCAGAGAGACATACTGACAATATATGGGAAATATCATCATATATTTTCCAATTATTTGTTCACATGTTATATTATTACATATAATAAATGATCTTTATTCTTGTACATATATGTGTGTGTGTGCTGCTTACTGCAGCATGGAATGGAGAAATATGGCAGCAGCTCACAGTGAAGGAGAAATGAAAAATCACCCAGCATGACCACTGCCCTTGGCCACCGGCCAGCTGACAGCTCCCACCCAAATGTGCAAGTGGTGTGTCGGGGAGGCAGCGTCGTTTGGACGTGTGCATGCGTTATTCGGATAGATGTGTCACAATAAGGAGAATTTCACAGTGCAGCAATGCAACCTGCAGCATGCGCTGCATCTCGTTCAGACTGTGTTTTACATACAGCCAGAAAACACAGCTTCAGCTCTCTGTTTACTCTCTGTTTCCTCTGAGGATGTGTAGCTTCCCCTTGAGCCAAAGGCAGTTTTTCAGAGCTCCTTTGTATTCAGCATGAGTATTTAATGCCCTCTCGCTGACTGAGGCAGGGAGGGGGACCAGGCGGAGCAGGTGGACCTCCACATCCTGTATTATGAGGAGATGGCTGCTATGCACTGGTGTGTTAGGAAATATTTCACATCAAACTGTTTATTTTTTCCCGTCTCCCGGAGAATAATTAACATGAAATTGCAGCCGGTAATAACTCAAGCGATCGGTGTGTAATCCTGTTTGCTGCAGTGTGTCTGGTGTTGCTGCAGTTCATCTTGTATAATTGGTTTCAAAGACGTAGTTTACAAAAGGAAACCAGAATATTTATTTACTCCTTGAAAATAATCAGAACGTTGCTGCTTAATTACTGTCAAATATATTTTAATCATTTCTACCTACTGGGTAATTTTTCAAGCTCTGATGGCTTAAAGATTTTGTGCAAACCTGAGCAAATAACGACTAAGATATGCTGAATACAATCAGAACTCCTAAACTTCTCACTTATCTCATATTTTCTTCATGTTTTATTAGTTTATTCCTTATGTGAATGCGAAGTGGTGCATAATGGTTGTTTCAAAGTCCTGCTGCTGCTGATGATGATAATTTAATGGTGGAGTTTTAAAAGAGGAAGTATTTCCTTATTTGTCAAACTGTCAACAACATGAGGCTTCAGAAAGTGATCATCATTTCAACACAGCAGTAACTCAGCTTGGAGTTCTCATAAAACTTTATTCTGGAATTAATTCAACTTAAAAAATTTTATTTCTTTATTATTATAATATTCCAGTATTATTTCAACTTTATTCTAGTATTATTACGGTTTTATTCTACAACTATTACAAGATATATTGATGGAATTTCATTCTTGCAGTAATATAGCTTTATTGAGGTAATATAATGACTTTGTTATAATATTATTACACATTTAGTTTTGTTATTTTGAGTTTATACTCATTCTTACAACTTTACTTTGGTTTTATTGCAACCACTTCATTCTCATTTTATTACAATGTTTCCCTGCTATTATTACGACTCTACTCTTGTATTAATTCTGATTTTATTACATCTTTATTATCTCATTATTGATGTGATAATAAATGTGTCATTAATGTGTTATTCTGGAAATATTGTAATTGTATTATAGTATTATTACAAGTTTATTTTCATATTACGTTGAGTTTATTCTCGTATTATCATGACTTTATTCTTACGACTTCATACTCATATTATTATGACTTTTCCTGGTATTATTATAACTATTTTTGTATTACTTTGACTTTATTGTCATAATATTATGACTTTATTCTCGTGTTATTATTCTCATATGATTTTATCTTACCATAAGGACATTTTACCTCCTAAGTTGGTAGGATAAGTTTGTGTCTCTCTTGAATTGAGAAAATGACCCACTGGATTCACGTTGGATGACAAAATATGAAGAATATCAAAGCATATATTACTGTTTGCAAAGTAAAATGAATATTTTCATGACGTTTGCATTGTGTCTGTCTTCTATTGACGTCCAACATGCTGTCAATATCTCACGCTGGGAGCCAAGCGCTCACCCGCTTTGACTAATGAACACACACTAGTAGGAAATAGACTACAGATCAATAAACTCAGCAGAAATCTCTTTCATTCAGCACACTCACTCACAGATACAAACACCGTTTTTATACCCTGGGAGAAATTACGACACAGAGGATGGCAGAGGAGGAAGAGGATGAGGATGAGGAGGAGGGGATGATTGTGCCACCAGAGCCAGGAAGATTGTAACACCTTAGCAACAAATAAGCCAAGCCTCCCACTGAGGAGGAGCCACACACTTTTTCACACAAACACGGAGAGGCAGCTGAAGACCCATGAAGGATGGTGATGAAACCGAGGCAGCAGCACCAGTGATGCACAAAGAAAGAAAAACACAGAGAGAGAAAAAATCATTCCTCTTTGTTTCCTGTCTCCTTCTGTTTGTCATTGCTGTTTAACCTTGCCTGCTTGCCTCTCCCTGTCACTGATCTTTCCTCCTGCAGTGTCGCCTCGTTTAGCAGCTTTTTCAGCCACTGTGTGTGTGTGTGTGTGTGTGTGTGCGGGTGGGTGGGTGTGTGCACCGCTGGTTTACCACCAGCCGAAGGGGAGGGGATGGAGATGGGATGAGCAATAAAAAAGCAGGGACGGTCTCAGTGGTTGGGAAAGGAGAGGAGAAGAAGAAGAAACACGGATCTCTGCATTGTATGGATTCCATATTGGATCGAGGAGGGGCTTGGTGAGGGAGGGGCACCGGAGACTCCTGGTGAAACGCAGAGGAGGGAGGGTGTGATGCGCTCCGGACCCGCTGAACCCGAGTGACGGCGCTTCGGAGCGGAGACTCGCCTCAGCCTCCTCCGCGGTGCCATGCTCGGCAACATCGCCCGACGCGCTGGGAGGACAGAGGTGCTCCAGGAGTCGGAGACAGGAGCGTGATGGACATCTCCACATATCCACCCGGACTCCTGCTGGCTTCTCCTCCGGATCCCCTCCGGCACCTCCTCTTCAGCGAGGCTGCGCACTCTGCCAGACTCACCCATGGTGATGATCACGGTTCGGGTGTCCTGTGCCATGCTGCTAATGAATTTTCACCTGACCACTTAACAGCTGCTCTTCCTCTCGTTATTGATGACGTACACTGCAGGGCACTTGCTATTCTGATCTGAATCAAGTTTTTTTTTTATTGCTGCATGGACCGAACAGCCCTCCAGAATGGGTAAACAACTGCCATCAAGAAAAGGATCCATCGGGCATGATAATGAAGACGAGTGCCTGAGTGGCGGTTTGCATCTGCAGTGATTGGTTTTAATTGGCTGTTTCCAGGAACAAAAGAGCTGCTTGGGCTGAACTGGCAGAAAGGTGACAGAGTTTTTGCTCAGGGTGACGATCGGCAAAGAAATCTGTGACTGGAATCAAGAAACTTTGAAGCAGGAATTTGAGGGATGGATGAAACCAGTCGTCCTTCTGCAGTTGAGTCTTCCGAGGAGTTTTTTGTCTCCGCTGAGCCGTGGGAATCCTTCATACCTCAACAAACTGGCAAACTTGTTCACGGTCTTCTATCCGGTTTCATTCATTGACTGGAGATCCACCAAAGCCTGACCCCATGAGTGGAGGAGGCGCCCTGCAGCAACGCACCACCTACCTCATCTCCCTCACCTTGGTGAAGGTAGAGGCTGTGGAGGAGAATGGCGGGGAGGCCCAGAAAAGCACGCAGGAGAAGGAGGCAGAGGCCGACCAGGAAAGAAGTCCAGGGGAAGAGATTGGAGCTCCAACCGTGGCTGAGAATGGAGCTGGAGAGAGAAAACCTCGTAGTCCCGAGAGCGATACCGTAGATGCTGCAGGTAAAGCCCCCGAAAAGCCACCACGCAACCTCTCAATCCCCCTACCTGCTGAGAGAGGTACGATCCAGCAGACCAGGTCTGTAGACGCCGTTGAGTCAATGCAATGCTGGTCTCCGTCACTGATCACAACACCGCCAACGGAGCTGGTCGAACCGAGCCGAACTCCCACCAGGACCAGCTTCCCTATCCGGCCAGCGGGACAGCGGCCCGTGAGTCTGCTCAAGTCTCACAGCAGCGTGGCCACCCGAGGGCGCGACTCCAGGGAGGGTCGGGAACGCAGCCCTACCTCGGCCCAGAGCCTCGACCGGAAGGACTGCCGCGTGACGACGCGGTCACCGGGTCCCTGCCGGGCATCATGGGCCGAAGCAAGCCGACCGGAAGCCTGGAGGGACCTACGGGACGAGTCTCAAACTGGGATGTCTCTGGACATCGGAGGTGGTGTGGGCGCGGTGATGAGGGACATCCCCAGGAAGGACCGGCTGAAGACGGGCTCGGCCTCCCTACCTGCTCCGGCCAACCAGGTCCCCAAACCGGCGCGTAAGGGCAAAAGCCGCACGCTGGACAACAGCGACCTGAACAGCCTTTCCGAGGACCTGGGGCTGGCCAGGGACGCCCAGCAGGCGCAGCAGAGTCAACGGGGCTCTGCTAAAGACAGGAAGATGCTCAAATTCATCAGTGGCATTTTCACCAAGAGCAGCTCAGGGGCGGCAGGGCCAACATCCGCAGCTCCTCCAGTCTACATACAGAGAGACTCCAGCGAGGAGGAAGGTAGGAAGTCACAAGCACTGCAGGGCTGGAGATACGCTTAACATAAAATCTGTTCTCTGGTTTCGGTTCAAATTGATCTTGTTTTCTGTTAATATATTCTCAGAATTAGACAAAAATATCGTAGCCTGACCTAATGCGTAAAAAAGCTGCTATATGTTTTACAGAAAATAAAGAGGAAATCGATTAATCAGAAATTTTATTTGTAAGTCGTATCGCCCAGGCCTAACTAGCAAAACATGGGGCAACAGCGGCAGGTGTTGCCGGTTCGATACCCGCCCTGTTCTACACCAGGGCAGCTGCTGCTACTATATCTCATCTTAAGACATAAAGGACATTATAAATAAATTATTATCATTACTATGATAGTTATTACTACTACTAAACATACACTAGTTGTTTTCTGTACTTATTTTCCAAAAAGGGAATTAAATGACAGGAAATATTTTAATTTTGAGAAAATTGTCATAATATTAATAGAATGAATCAAAAATGAACTAGAAGGTCTTAAGTTATACTTTTGCATCAGTTTTACAGATTAGGAAATACTTAAAATTTGAACATAGTCAAATTATTTTCAGGACTTTGAAACGAAGAAAGAAGCTGGTCGCATTAGATATCATAAACGAGAAGCTTTTTTATACTGAAACGACGTTTTTCTCATAAAACGCTCAACATTCCTTATTTAAGTTTTGCTATTTTTCATGTCTGAGTTCCTATAAACTTATTATTTAAAGCTCTGGGAAATAGTATCCTGGTAATATTAACACTTTATTCTCGTGCTATTGGGTACTTTATTATGTACTACTACTATTGTATTCTTGGAATATGACTTTTTGCTAGGAATTAATGTTTTTAGAAGCTTTTTATTTATCTCAATTGTCCCTTCTGTGAGTTGTACATAACTAGAGTACTTAACTAGAATATAGTCATAATATTAGCTAAAAAAAAAAACAAATTTTACCAAAAGAATGTCTTAAAATAATGAGGAAAAGATTGTTTTAATGAGAAACGGCCTTGTATAATTAATTTCTTTGCTCTTTTTTTCGTGGCCAAGACTTTATTCAACTTCATACGTGTGTATTTTACTGTCATGGGACTGTATTCTCGTAAATAAAATAAAAATAATGATTAGTCTAACCTATATATTCCTGAGTGCAAAGTTTAAATAAATAGTTTTGATCAAACAAGATGGCAGCCTTGGGCGCTTGAATCAGTCTGAACCAGGAAACCCAAAGAGCACATTAGTTTAAAAACATCCAAGTTTTCTAAAAACTACATCTTCAAAAACCCAAAGATTTGACTAATTGATGAATAAATTGATTTATCGTAAAGCCCTACATCCCTCTGCAGCTCATGATCTTCGCTAAGCGTCTTTTCTGCAGAATTTTTTCTGAACGAGTCCTCTTCCTCTGTGCAGAGGCATCCATTTGAAATGAGTCAGGCTGCAATTGGGTGGGGTTGATCTTTTTTAGAGAAACCTCTCACAGGCTGTAATAAAGTCACGTGGCTTGGGAACATTTTCCTGCCGCCATGTGCATCTGGATCCCCAATGATACAGGAAACGAAAACTACCGCTTGGTGCGACGATTGCCAAAAGAATCGTCTTAATCTAATTCCCCTCAGAGCGGGGGCAGATTTCACATGGCTGCAGGGGTAATCGGCCCTCACACAACCTGACACTGACACCCCACACACTGGTGCACCTTGTTTTCTCCCAGTGTGGGTTTAAATCTCATAATGTCACCGGAGAATCTGTTTGGCGCCACAACCGATCGGGAACATTTCTAATCCCGTCTTTGATATTTTCCACCCACCGCACCTTCTGCAGCTGGAGATTCGTTTTCTCTCCCTCTCTTTCTCTCTTTGTTTCAGTCTGGTTTTATTTTAAATCACTAGGGGAGAAAACATGCGTAGCGTTTCAGGGATTTGAATAAAAATAGATTTAAAGATTTGTTACATCCAACAGAGCGTGCCCTTTTTTATTTCTTATTCGTTTTCTCATTGTGCATTCACGCCGTTTCACACACACCACACACACACACACACACACACACACACACACACACACACACACACACACACACACACACACACACAGACACGCACACACACACGCACACACACACGCACACAAACTAGCCTCTGTATGCACGGCACACACATGCACTGCACACACACACACACCACACACACACACACACACACACACACACATGCACGGCACAAGCTCAGGAGCAGGAGGAAGTGTTGCCATGGCAACCGTCAGACCCGTGCCGCCCGTGCTTCAGTGGCAAGCCGTCGTAACATAAAATCAATTTTCCCTCCCAAAAAATGTTTTTTGGGTTTGTTTCATTAAAATTTTAAAATGCTGCTAACTAGCTAACTAAAATTAGTTTGTCCTAATTGTAGATGTCATTCTGATTAGTCAGACTGTTAATTAAAAAGTGTATGGAAAGCCTTTTTAACATAAAATCGTTTTCCAGCGTAATTATGATGATGATTAGTTGGTTTATTCAACAGACTCATGGTCCACATAGACATAAAAACAAAGAGACATGACACACAATAACAGAAATGAATGCAAACTTATAAAACACATGCACACCTGTGTTCCCAAAATTATGACTGGTAGCATCATTACAATAAGACATTCTATATTCTAGATATCTATACATTCATTTTTGACTGTTCTAAACTGTAATTTAAGATATTTACATTCTGACTTGTAGGAATAACAATTCAAGATCTCTTCAATTACATTTTGACTTGAACATTTATTTCAAGATATTTTAAATGGCGTCACCAGGATTTGACATTTAATGAGTCAAACATCCATAATTACAATTTAAGATATCGCAAACGCAATTACGACTTATCAACATTTCACTTCCAGATAGCTGAACTAAAAATTATGCCTTTTTTGCTGTGCAATATCACAGACTTTGTGAACTTGAAGACTGCTTTTGAAATCTACAAAGAATTCCCAATTTGTCATTGATGCATTTTTAAAAATCTTTTGTCTTTTTTTTCTTCAATTTTTCATTTTTATTTAGCTTTCAAAATGCTACATAAATATGCAACGCTTTAACTAAACAAAATACTAATTCAAGATATCAGTAATAACTTTCTGAGTAGCTATAATGTTAATTAAAGATGTCTCAAATAGATAAGATATAAGATATTTCTTATTTAGCTTTGCCTCATCATTATTTGCTTTCAATATTTTTGCAACTTAGTTTGCACCAGCCGAAACTATCTAAAAATACATTTAAGGAATCTTGATTATGGTGTCGTTCAAGATCTTTCATTAGATCAGGATCTGAGATATCTTTAATGTACTTTGACTAGTCATAATTCAGTTGTTAATATTTGACATGTGTGTTTCTGATAGTAATTCATTGTAGATATTTTGAATTAAGGCTCCCATATTAATTAATTGTAAATCTAATGTCATTTATACTAACCTGTATGTAATTATCTCAAATATGCATTTTGTCCAGTCAAAATATTATTATAATTATATATATAAATCTTAATTTACTAATACGTCTGGTCAGAAACCAATTTCAGATATCTGAACTGTAAGTGTGGCGAAACCGATTTTCTGTTAAATCGACCTGCCATATTAATATTGCTGCTGTTACAGAGGCTGCAGCACCTGATGGAATGGAGAGAAGAAGAGGAAAACGAGATGTGAAAGAGGATGCAGTATGTTCGAGATAGATGGGAAGGTTTTAAGATTTAAGAGAAACAGAATATTGTTGAATATTTGAGTGTCCACACATGAACAGGATGGCTGAAGTGGAGGTAATTGGGATTCTGTGGAAATGTGTGCAGCGAAGCAGCTGAAGAACTTCACTGTCTGATCACTTCTGGCTCCATCACCGGGCCATAAAAAGGGCTTTCAGTCAGAAAGACACAATGAGACAGACTGTCAGTGTGTGTGCCTGTGTGTGTTTTGTGTGGTAGGGATTGCCCTTTTTGTGTCAGACTGCAGCAGCAGCTCGCATGAAAGCCCACTTTCACCAAGCATTCGTCTGCCACAGATTTAGTTTGTATTTGAAAGACACAAACAGCCACACCTTGTATCTGTTGCTCTCTTTACTATCAGTTAGAAATTATAAAACAAGTCAATTTGGGGAGGGGGGATTGAGAAAGTTCACTAGACCTTTGTGACTGTTGCCTTTTTTGGGAGTTGACTTGCAGAATTTGGATTCAACAAACCTGGAGTATTTTCACACCTAATAGTCCGGTAGACTTGTTTCGATTGGGAACCAAAATTCACCTGTGGGGGCGCCACACCAAGAACCGCTGAAGGAAACAATACAAAAACCACAGAAGAAGACAAGAGCCCGACTTCCTTCTCGTAGAAATGTAAACAAAACTGGAGTAGCGTCGTATTATCGCAGCTGTAGCATCTCTCTGTTGTCTTTGGCAGAAACTATTTCTCTAAATAGTGCTAGAGTAGCGAGTTTGTTTCTGTTATATTTACCCAGAATGCCCTGCGCCGTAACTCATTTCCGACTTCTGGAACTTTCTCTTCAAATGAACTAAACAGGCTTGGTGTAAATGCATCCCGACGTCTCGGTTTGGATAAAGAGAACTCTGGTACATTTCGAATGCATATGAACTCCAAGCAGACCAGAGACTGCTTCAAAAGCAGGAAGTGAGCTATAGAACAGGGTATTCTGGGTAATTTCAACCAGAACGATCAGTCTAGAGTTAGCAGGAGAAATGGCTCGTAGTCTTTTGCCAGAGGCAAAAAAAGAAATCCTACAACTAAAATCTGACGCCACTGTTTTAGTTTACATTTAGTAAAGAAGGACGTTGTGCTCAGGACTCTTTGAAGGTCCTTGTGTCGTTTCCTTCAGTGGTTCTTGGTGCAGCGCCATCACAGGCAAGGAGGGGAACAGGTTTCTCAAAGCGGTTGGTTTGTTTAACACAGTGCAAAGTGAACATGATTATGTAAAAATGTAACAACCAGGAGTATTCTGACCCCTAATCTAATCGCGTTTATCAGACTATCTGCTGCCAAGTTCTCCAGAATCCTAATCATGTCATTATTTAACTCAAGCATGCTGAAGGTGAACACAAATAAAGTTTTAGATGTCTTCAGCTGCATTTAAATCTGTCTTATCGTTTTGGCAGCAGAGGGACTTTCTGGCCTTTGCAGATCATTTTTCTGATGTGGGGAAGTACTTTCAAGCACTTTTTATAGTCTTTCACTTCTGCTTGCCTTGTTTGCAGTGACTCATTGTTATTCCTGTTAGGGGATCACTAAAATGATCGATTTTAGCTTTGTTTTCTACTTTGAGGAAGGAGACGGTGTGAAAAGCTAAAACATTTTTGAACAGCAGATGAATGAAACCATCTGGTTTCAAGCAACACACTGCTTTTAACACATGCTTTAAATAAAGGACAGCTAAGTGGATAAAGAGCAGCATGGTTGCAGCTTACTGGTTTCCCTGCTGTGAATTAAAGGTTATATTCATAACTGTGACCTGCAGGACCAGCCGTGCAACTCATATTGCAGATGTGTGATTTATCACCTCTTCCAACAGGCAGTTAAGATGGCTGCCCTCCTCTCTATGTAATCAACATGATGAATCCCCTCCCTGTGTCTGCAGCTCGCTGAACGTTTGTCTCTGCCTGTCTTTTTAGTAAATATCGCCAACAGTCAGGAGTGGATGCTGAGCCGATCCATCCCGGAGCTGAGAGTGGTGAGTTTCCATCACTGCAACTGATGGATCACACATTCAGCTCACAGTAAAAACTCATTCTGACTAATAAAACTGTAGGGAAACTGGGTTTTTTTTCTTGCACAGTTCAGCATAACGGGAAACATATTATAGTAGCTGATGTTTGGTTTTCTGCTGAGTTGCAGCAGTCACTTTTCATCCCAGTAAAATCCATTTTAGCATGAACTTCCCAAGTTGGAAGTTCCTAAAATATGTCATTATTTTACTAATCAAAATCACATTTACAGTAAACTAAACAAGTCATATTTCAATTAAACATATAAAATTGTCTCATTCCATTTTTTAGGAAGGGGCAGCTGTTGTATTTATTATATAATTTATCATTTATAGTGAAAAATCTTGATTTATTGTTATGATACGTTTCAGTTATTAGTGATAAACAAAAAAATAGCACTAACAGTTCAATATGAAATGTTAATTTTGCTTTTTTATTCACCATTTGTTTCATAAAAGCACCAATTTGAAAATATGATTAAATGCAGTTACTGTGTGCAGATTAGTGGCAAAAATAACTTTTTTAAGAAACAAAATAAGCCTTTTTCAAGCATAATATTTGTGCTTGAGACACTGTGAATGCTGTGCCATGCAGTCACAGCCATACAGTTACCTGAAATAAGCATACAATAGTTTTTTAAATCATAATATTTGCAGTTACCACAAAATATCATAATAAAATTCTAAGTCCATATTTGCAAATCATTTTACATCCAACACACGTTTGTGTTGCGAAAACAATTAATCAGATTAATCGTAATGAATCAAGTATTGAAATAATCGTCAACTAATTGAGTAACTGATTAATTGTTTAGTTTCACTCAGTTAATAAAATGTCATATTAACCACTTTTACTATTCATTTATTAATCAATCAATCAGAAAAATAATCACCAGATTTACCAGAGACTGTTGATAAATCGAGCACACATGATAAAGTCTCATGTTGACTTCAGCAGTCACAGCTTCTTATTAAAAATGTGGCTTTTGCAAACAGTACAAGGAGATAATGCATTCTGAGATCATTTACCAAAGTATTTTCTGACAACAGTTATAAAGATGTAAAGACAGCCTTAAAATATGCTTTTCTTTAATTAAAGCAGCATAGTCTCCCACTGAAAGAGAAATCCAACATTAATTTAAGAACATGTACTCTGCAGGGACTAAAATAGCACATTAAGAGATAATTAGTTATAAAAAATTCACTGGTGGTCTAATTGTTGCTGCAAACTCCTGATTTATACACTGATAAGCTCCAAGATTATCAGTGTATAAACGTTTGACACATTTTAACTGAAGTTAGACAAGAGATTTTTATAAATTAAAAATTATATATTTGTTAATTATAGCAAGAGTTTTGCACATTTGCCTTTAAATTTTGGGAAATCAATTGTTTTCTGTTCCTTGGATTTTCAGCTGCCTGTGCGACAATAACCTGATTTTTGATGCTCTTTACCCTGAAATGTTCAGTTTGTGTCTGTGATCTTGTTCTCTATTACAATAGATGCAAAACATTTGATTAATAACAGAAAAAATACTTTGTGTTTTATCTAAGTGTCTTCCAGCTGTCATTGTTTAAGCTCACTAAACCTGCAGCTACCAATTATTTTAATGATCAATTATTCCATAGATTATTATAGTAATTAATCGATTATTATGATGACTAAACAGATTTTAAAAATGCCATATTTGACAGATTTTTTATTTAACCACTTTAGCCTTTCTATACACAATATCTGAAACATTAAAATATGCAAATAACAATTTCTTTTTAAAAGAAATTGTTGTTTTCTTTTAGAAAAGAAAACAACAATTTTATGTCCGAAAATGCAAGAACGTAGTATTTCATTAATGAACACTTGACCATTTGTTGCAAAGGATGCGTCTGTTACTAAAAATACTACCTATTGAATTCATAAATGAACAGCAGGAAGGTGCTGAGTAGATTTTTTTTTTACTCCAGTTAACAATTAATTGATTACTAAATGTAATCAATTAAAGTTTCAGCCCTAATCTTATTTAGCGGCGATAGTTTTGGTGTTAGACTGTAAAGAACGCTGTTTACCCAGAGCTGTCACTGTTACAAATTCAGTCAGAGACGAAATCAGTAGGTGATAAAGGACCTGAAAGTCTGTATTAAGGTTTTAATTAAGTCTGACTGTTTGGTTTGAGATGTTCTCCATCACTGACCATGAAGAACTTCTTTTTAATGTATTTTCTTCCTCTTTCTCTCAGGGCATTCTAGGCAGCCTGAAAAGTGGAAAGTCTGCGCTGGTGAACAAATACATCACAGGCAGTTATGCTGCGATTGAGAAGCCTGATGGTAGAAACGGTTTTGTTTTAAATTAAAGAGTTACCTGATTGGCTGTTCTGCAGCTCAGTGGCCTGTTAAATTACCTTCCTGTTGCTTTTGTTGTTCCTGACAGGCGGAAGGTATAAAAAGGAAGTTCTGGTGGACAGTCAGAGTCACCTATTGCTGATTCGGGAGGAAGCTGGAGCTCCTGACGCACAGGTGTGTTTCACGTACACATGTAGGCCTGTAACACCTGAATCATCTGTTTGGAGCTACGCAATTCCTCTCAACTCTAATCCTGCTTCACTGTTCCATCTGCATTTCCTCCCATTGACTTGGATTACTCCGATAGAAGTTCAACTGGTCCAATCAGCAAACAGAAAGAAAAGTTGTGAACGATTATGTTGCTTTTCTGCGCTACTGTGGAATTGAAGTCTGCCTGTAGTTGCAGCAATGAAGGGAATGAAGCAGCTCAGTTCGCTTACAAATATCAACATTAGCAGCCATCTTGTTGGGCTCAGCACTTCTTTGTTCGCAGAAGATGATGGTTGTTTATGATCGGGCTATGTGATTCTTACCAGGCTAGCTTGGAGCTAATATTTGGTTCTTACCAGAGTAGCTTGGAGCTAATGTTTGGTTTTTACCAGGCTAGCTTGGAGCTAATGTTTGGTTTTTACCAGGCTAGCTTAGAGCTAATGTTTGGTTTTTACCAGGCTAGCTTGGAGCTAATGTTTGGTTCTTACCAGGCTAGCTCGGAGCTAATGTTTGGTTCTTACCAGACTAGATTGGAGCTAATGTTTTGCTCTTACCAGGCTAGATTGGAGCTAATGTTTGGTTCGTACCAGGCTAGTTTGGAGCTAATGTTTGGTTTTTACCAGGCTACCTTGGAGCTAATGTTTGGCTCTTACCAGGCTAGTTTGGAGCTAATGTTTGGTTTTTACCAGGCTAGCTTAGAGCTAATGTTTGGTTCTTACCAGGCTAGCTTGGAGCTAATGTTTGGTTCTTACCAGGCTAGCTCGGAGCTAATGTTTGGTTCTTACCAGACTAGATTGGAGCTAATGTTTTGCTCTTACCAGGCTAGATTGGAGCTAATGTTTGGTTCGTACCAGGCTAGTTTGGAGCTAATGTTTGGTTCTTACCAGGCTACCTTGGAGCTAATGTTTGGCTCTTACCAGGCTAGTTTGGAGCTAATGTTTGGTTTTTACCAGGCTAGCTTAGAGCTAATGTTTGGTTCTTACCAGGCTAGATTGGAGCTAATGTTTGGTTCTTACCAGGCTAGATTGGAGCTAATGTTTGGTTCTTACCAGGCTAGATTGGAGCTAATGTTTGGTTCTTACCAGGCTAGCTTGGAGCTAACACTTTGTTTTGTTTTCCAGTTCTGCAGCTGGGCCGATGCAGTGATCATGGTCTTCAGTCTGGAGAATGAAGCCAGTTTCCAGGAGCTTTACCAGCTCTACAGCCAGCTCAGTGCTCACCGCTCCGACATACCGGTCATCGTGGTGGGAACCCAAGGTAATCTCACAGATTACACCGGAGGATTTACTCATCCTGGGATTAAACTTGATTTGACGCACCAAAACAGATGAATGTGGGAAAAACTTTTGCATTAACAAACTGTTATTTAGTCAGAAAGACTGGATTGGATAGTTGGTCCAGCCTTACAGTAATCTTTTTCCCAACACCATAATTTAGCTAACACTAGAAAAAGTGTGAAATATTATAATTTCAATATTTTTTTTATAATTTTGACCAAAATAAAGTTAATAACTTTTAAATCATTTTAACCATTATTGTTATAATTTTCCAGTATTCATTTGTCATTTTGGAAAAAAACATTTGTATGTCATCAACAAATATTGTTACATAATAAATATATATTTTTATCTGGATTGATCAGATAAAATAAGCAGCACCAACCCCCGAGTGATCGAGGACCAGCGCGCCCGGCAGCTGTGCATCGACGTGAAACACTCGCTGTTTTATGAGACCTGCGCCACCTACGGGTTCAACGTGGACCGGGTCTTCTCCGAAGGTGAGCTCATTTCATCCTGACCGCCGTCTTAATCAGAGACGAAACATTTCAACCGGAGCTCTGTGTGGTTTTCAGCCGCCCAGAAGATCGTAGCGCAGAAGAAACAGGCGGCGCTGCTGGCGTGTAAATCTCTTCCCAACTCGCCGAGTCACTCTGGAGGATCCACACCTGGATCTGCTTCTCTGCCCGGACAGGTACCACCAGGGCGGTTTCTAACGTTATCGTCACTCCGTTACGTCACCGTATGGCTACATATGTGCTAGCAAGAGAGCTGGCACACTCGCTAGCATGAGAGTTAGCACACTCGCTAATGTTGACTGCTAGCAAACTAGCTAGCGTTATCTACTAGCACACTCGTTAGCTGCTAGCACACTCGCTAGTGTTAGCTGCTAGCATACTAGCTACTGTTAGCTTCTAGCACACTCGCTAACATTAGCTCCTATCACACTAGCTAGCCCTAGCTGGTAGCTCATTCGCTATTATTAGTGCTAGCACACTCGATTGCTTTAGCTGCTAGCATACTAGCTAACCTTAGCTGCTAGCTCACTCTCTAGCATTAGCTGCTAGCACACTCGCTAACGTTAGCTGCTAGCATACTAGCTCAAGTGTGTAATTTTCCTCCATCAAAAGGTTCACAAAGACCTTTTCAACGTTTTCTCTCTGCACAATGCAAATTATTGTTTGCCTTTGCATTAATATGAAACTGAATTTATTTACTTTCAGTATCACTCGCAGCTTCAAAGCTGAGTTGTTATTCTGTATATTAAAATATATTGACAAATATAGCACACAGTATTTAGGGAATTGACACTTTAATCTATCAGAAATAAAACTACTATTGGGTAATATGCTATAAAATTGTCATATTTTCCAGTACAATTTCCAATAAATATTTTGTGCTATGAATAAGTGTAATAGTGAATTATTAATCAATATCAGTTGATAAATAAAGCAGCATCTTTCATGTCATTAAATCACTTTGAAATAACATAAAAATCTAACATTTATGAGATGTAATATATGGCAACATGTTTTTAATGGCTTAAAAAATTCAAAAATATTTTTACTTTAGTTTCTAGTGCAAATATCTTGGTATAGTTGAAATGAGACAAAATAACCTGCAGATAAAATTTAATCCTTAATATTGTTAAAGTTCCAATTTCAGATTAAAGCTGCAAGCAGCCTCGAACGGCCCTCGCAGCCAAGCGCCGCTCCGGCCTATTGCCACCGCGGGGTACGAGCAACCGCCGCCTCACGCCAGCCACCACAGAACCTCTCACGCAGTTTTCAGCGCCTCCGCCCGCACCGCGGAAGCTGTTGCTCAGTTTAAACTTCTCCAACTCCGGTCCAACAGAGCCTTCTTGCTCAAAAGCGTGGTTCGGATTTGCAACTCCAAAATCCAAGCAAAATGTTGAGCGTAGTCCAGTTCTGTGGCTCCAAAAAGCAGGCAAAATGTTCAGGAAAATTTCGCAGCTCCAGCTGTCGCCAGCTGACTGTTATTACGTAGCGTCGATCTGTTTTCTCATTGATGGAGTACCACTGCCTCCTGCTGGGGCAATACTGGTATTGCACTAGCAGTACCAGTATATCGCCACAAGGTGCCAGTGGTACTCCATCAACACTGACCCCCGTGTGTTCTTACTTTGCTGAATGACTTTTGTTTGTATTATTTCTAGCAAAAATGAATGAATGTTTGTACTTTAACCCACAAAATAACTTATATATATATAAAAGTTATAATAATGTATATTTAAATAATTAATAACAACATAACCTATGGGCTGCTGTTTTCTAGGGGGCGCTATAGAGAAATTAGGCCACGCCCACCAAATATTGTGATGGATTCCTGTCGGGGAGTTGATGGGAATCCATCCTTGTGAGTTTGGAGCAGCTGGGCCCAAAAATGTGGAATTGAGAGCCAAACGTATGGCGATGGCGTTACAGGTCACTTCGCCACGCCGCCACGCCCACCTGCTCCATCGTAGCTGGTCGGGGTTGAAATCCTCAATACACCAACATGTCTTCGGTGTCTGGTCACAGTTTCATGTTGATGAGGTCAAAAGGTTCAGATAGCGACCGTTCACAGTAAAACATGACACTTCCTGTTCTCAGGGGGTGTGGCCTAAGTGATGTCATCACTCGACCATAGGATGTTGTAGGACACCCGATGATGTTCAATCACTGAAACTTTGGTGCCTTTGTGAGTTTCTGTGTAGGAGATATAGCAGTTTATTTTTTATGGGGAGTAGGTGAACTTTGACCCCTGCCAACCCCCATTCAGCATACTCAAAAACTCACCGTTTTGATAACTTTAGATGGGACATGCCTTATGAGCAGACTGACCGAGTTTGAAGCCGATCAATCAAAATCCCGGGGAGGAGTTCGATCAAATACGATAGCTGCAAACTGCAAAAATGGGTCAAAATCCGAACTTCAATCTAAAATGGCCGACTTCCTGTGGGGTTTAGACCATGGCTCCAAGAGACTTTTTTGTAAGTCCTGACAAGGTACACACGTGTACAAAGTTTCGTAATTGTAGGTTAAAGCATGGCTTGGGGCTGATCATTTAAAGTTTTCTAGGGGGCGCTATGAAGAAATTAGGCCACGCCCACCAAATATTGTGATGGATTCCTGTGGGGGAGTGGATGAGGATCCATCTTTGTGAAATTGGAGCAGCTGGGCCCAAAAATGTGGAATTGAGAGCCAAACGTATGGCGATGGCGTTAGGTAATTTCGCCACGCCGCCACGCCCACCTGCTCCATCGAAGCTGGTCGGGGTTGGAATCCTCAATACACCAACATGTTTTCTGTGTCTGGGCACAGTTCATGTTGATGAGGTCAAAGGGTCAGATAGCGACCATTCACAGTAAAACATGACACTTCCTGTTCTCAGGGGGCGTGGCCTAAGTGTTGTCATCATTCGACCATAGGGTATTGTAGGGCAGCCGATGATGATCAATTACAGAAACTTTGGTGCCTCTGTGAGTTTCTGTGTAGGAGATATAGCAGTTTATTTTTTATGGGGAGTAGGTGAAATTTGACCCCTGCTAACCCCCCTTCAGCATTCTCAAAAACTCACCGTTTTGATAACTTTAGATGGGACATGCCTTATGAGCAGACTGACCGAGTTTGAAGCCGATCAATCGAAATCCCTAGGAGGAGTTCGATCAAATAGGAAGGCTGTAAACGGCAACAATGGGGTCAAAATCTGAACTTCAATCTAAAATGGCCGTCTTCCTGTGGGTTTCGACCATGGCTCCAAGAGACTTTTTTGTAAGTCCTGACAAGGTACACATGTGTACAACGTTTCGTAAGTAGGTTAAAGCATGGCTTGGGGCTGATCATTTAAAGTTTTCTAGGGGGCGCTATAGAGAAATTAGGCCACGCCCACCAAATATTGTGATGGATTCCTGTAGGGGAGTAGATGAGGGACCATCCTTGTGAGTTTGGAGCAGCTGAGCCTGAAAATGTGGAATTGAGAGCCAAACGTATGGCGATGGCGTTACAGGTCACTTCGCCACGCCACCACGCCCACCTGCTCCATCAAAGCTGGTCGGGGTTGGAATCCTCAATACACCAACATGTTTTCTGTGTCTGGGCACAGTTTCATGTTGATGAGGTCAAAGGGGTCAGATAGTGAAAGTTCACAGTAAAACATTACACTTCCTGTTCTCAGGGGGCGTGGCCAAAGTGATGTCATTATTCGACCATAGGGTATTGTAGGACACCCAATGATGATCAATCATAGAAACTTTGGTGCCTCTGTGAGTTTCTGTGTAGGAGATATAGCAGTTTATTTTTACGGCGAGTAGGTGAACTTTGACCCCTGCTAACCCCCCTTCAGCATACTCAAAAACTCACCGTTTTGATAACTTAGATGGGACATGCCTTATGAACAGACTGACTGAGTTGAAGCCGGTCAATGGAAATCCCTAGGAGGAGTTCGATCAAATACGGAGGCTGTAAACGGCAAAAATGGGCTCAAAATTGGACCTTCAATCCAAAATGGCCGACTTCCTGTGATACTTGCACTATGACATTAATTGTAAATTTAGAGCATCTTGGGGAGCTCTACAAGTGTACCAAATTTCATGTCTCTAGGATAAAGTAAGTGAATAGCAAAGGGTCCTTTGAAAATTTGTAGGTGGCGCTATTGAGCCATTTCTTATGGGATTTTTGCGATGACCTTAAAATACAAAATTTTGAACCTCCCTCTACGCGTCCGCCAAGTTTGGTGAGTTTTTGAATATGATAAAGCCCCCAAAAAGGCCCCTCTTTAGGGGGGCAGAATAATAATTAAAGCTGCAAGCAGCCTCGAACGGCCCTCGCAGCCAAGCGCCGCTCCGGCCTATTGCCACCGCGGGGTACTAGCAACCGTCGCCTCACGTCAGCCACCACAGGCTCTCACGCAGTTTTCAGCTCCTGCGCCCGCACCGCGGAAGCTGTTGCTCAGTTTCCATCAACGCTGGCCACGTGCTAACACAGAAGTTGTTGCGCAGTTTCCACGCCCGTCCACCAGGCCGTACGCACTGATGCGTTTGGAGGCGCTCCTTGACGATGCAAAAAATGTGGTGCAGATTCATTGGTTTAGCGAGGAAATATAGCTGGCGGATTAATGTAGGACGCGCAGTGGAGCCAAAATATATATGGCGTCAGTCGGAAGATCCACGTCTAATTTACAGCCGATCATATGCACATGGCGAAGTACTACAGTTCGTCATTTTTCATCATTTTCAGCTGTGTTTCTAAAGCACTCTATTTCATTGTTAGAGTAAAACTTACTCAGAGTGGCGAATTACTGAAATGGTTTGTAAGAAGTAAGAAAACGCTACATTTACTGCATGATTTAATTCAACAAAAATTATCTGAGATATTTCTATCCTTTAGAAATTTCATGGCAACGCTCTCACAAAGTTTTCGCGCCCATCCGCCCATGGATCTGTCATTGGTGGAGGAACACTGACACCTACTGGCGAAATACTGATATTGTTCTTCATCCTGTTTATCTACTGTTTCATTTGTGGAGCAATACTGACCCCAAGTGGCGAATTACTGAAATGGTTTATAAACACCAAAAATAGGATCAAAATCTGAACTTCAATCTAAAATGGCCGACTTCCTCTGGGGTTTAGACCATGGCTCCAAGAGACTTTTTTGTAAGTCCTGACATGGTACACACGTGTACAAAGTTTCG